CTTCAAATTTAGAATTATATTTAAAAAAGAACAAACTAAACCAAAAAAATAAATGTTAATTAAATACTCATTATTTATTTTCCAAAGTCAAAGGGAGCCACAACAGAAGGATGAAAAAACCACATGCAGCTCTGAAGCCATAGGTTGAAACATTGGCCTTCCTAACCCAGAATGCTATGGGATGGCTCAGTTTTCCCATCTACATCTTTGCACCCAGAGCGCGGCTTATAGTTAATGATCGCAAGATCATCCAGAATCTGCAATCAGCAACTCAGTATGCATTTGGAGTCACATGGAGGTCAACAGGCATGAGTTCAGATGCTGAAGAGAGTGTACTGTGTATAGCAAGTCATATTTTTGTGCTGGGCGAGACTGAGTGCAACATGGGAGACTTTAATACTATCACTTCCTGTTGCGACTCATAATTTCCTGTGAGTGTCAAAGTCGATATAAACAGTGCTTATCTACACAGTGATTGCACTCTGCTCTAAATACACACTATGACTTCAGAAGAAATGTGACACTACACCTTAAATGTTAGGTAAAGAAGAATGTTGTTTTGTCTAATAAACAGAACTTCCTGTGTCAGACTGTTTATAAACAATGGTGAGTGAGTGCTGTGTGAGAAGAGACAATCTCTGTAAATGCTTTGGCACATGAGTAAGTGTAGTATAAACACACTGGCTGACTACAATACACAGTTAATGGTTGTCTGCTAAAAATCTCAACACTACCCAAACACAGGTGACGGCTGACACAAAAGTAAAATCACAAATGAATATTTCCAGATAGAGTTCATTGTAAAAGGAGTTAAGAGATCAAATATGAGACGAGTTGTAATGAGCGTGTGCACATGTGCGCGTTTGCGTCTAAAGGTCACACACCTTCCAGGCAGGGTCGTCCATGGGTCACTTGATGAGGGCAGTTCCAAATGAAACATAAACAGCCACTCCCTCCTCTCATCCTCTATCCGCCTTTTCCTCTCTCCAATGATGGGCCAATCCCCCAGCACAGCGTTCCATGGTCCAGGCAGAACTAATCTATCCCTCAGCTGTGCAGTTTAATCTAAACAAACAGATCTCTCCCTGCCAACATCTGGAACCCCTCATGTACCGGGACCTAGGAAACCACCACAGCCCAGTCTCTTTGTCAGTGTCTGTGAGTGTGTGTGAGCAGATCTTTCAACACGGAAGAACACTGCAGGTTTGCTGCGCTACCAGTGTGAGCGGAAATCATAAAAACATCTGGACACGTAACTAGCCGTGATACAGGCGCGGCTCAGAAGAAAAGCATGTATTTATTAAAAGCGAAAGACGCCAGCATGCCGCCGGAGAAGGCAATGACAGCTGAGGAGGAAGATGAGCTAAAAAAGACCCTGGAGTTTTAGGCTGATGAGATTTCTACTGTTAAACAGCAGCAGAAAGACCTCCTGGGCCTGCTGAAGGAGTTAAAGGCACTCCGGATCCAG